TTTGATGAACATTTAAACAGCTAACAATTAATGTTTATTTGAAGTATTATCACTTGCACCTGAGCTTATGTCTAAACTTAAAACAGAGTGCAGCATACACACTCTGTGTGCCCCATAGAAACAACAGTGTAAATGGTGAGGCAATGCTTAGGTGAATCAAAACACTCCTGTACCTTAGGGAATATACTCTACACAGCTGTTTACAGGCCCAAGCAATGACTCTTGTGTCTACACAACTATTTTTAGCACAGTAATTTCCCACTGCCTCAAAACTGCAGGAACTGTACTTTACAGAAGGGACTATCTCTCACAGATGCAAGGCAGAAAGGAAGAGCTCTGGCCGTGGGGTGGCAGCGGAGAAAGTCTCTGGCAGGAGATTTCAGATTAAACCCTTTTCCCATCAACTCTTCCTTACTAGGAAAAGGGGCTAGATTTGCAGGGAAACTTGAACCATTGTAAGAGGCCGACTGATTTTCCTAGCATTAAGCAGTTATAGGCCTTGGGAGTAACTGAGGCACTAAGGGACCTTGGGTTTATGCAAGCAATTTGATTTGGAACTGTGATACTCTAGATCTGAGCTATGAAAAGATGAGAAGAAACCATGTGACAGGTACAGTTCCTCTTGCCTTTCCCTATTTTCCATTATGGTCAAGATAGGCTCATCTGGTAAATAAAACAGTTATTTGCCTTGTTGTAACTGTTGTTCTTCCAGATGTGTTGGACATAACCATTCCAATCAGGTGAGTGCACACACATGCACAAAAGCCAGAAGATATTTCTCCTATTAGCACTCTCATGATGCTGATTATATAGCCCCGCCAACCCATCAACCTCCCAGTTCCTTCTTGCTGGCCACTCTGACATAGGTGCAGGAGGGTGGGCACTGGAATGGATATGAACAACACATCTCAAAGAACAGAAGTTACAAGAAGGTGAGTAATCATTTTTTTATTTTCAAGTGCTTGTTCATGTCATTAGAACCAGGTGACATGAACCCCTTGTGGGGCAGGAGTCAATAAACCTGTAAGAGCCATGTTGATGGCAGGGGCACTCCAGGGGCTGGTGCCTTCCCCATGGCTGGCTGCTTCTTAGGAGGGGTAGAAGAGCAACTTCTCTCCTGCCTCTTCTTTTTTGGTGGCACCAGAGATGAGAACCTGCGCATGCCTCTCTTGTGGTTCACACCATGTCAGTGCCGCTCCCTGGTAGGTGCCAAGTCATGCGTTGTTGCCACCCGTATGCTATGCACCAAGGAAAAGGCGGTCCGCATAGGATCCACTGAGCCCAGGTCGAATTGGAGGCGGAGAAGCTGCCTCCATGAGCAAACTCTTTAAGTGCCTGTGGGTGAAAACTTTTAAAGATTCTGCTCTTTTCTTTTTGATGACTCTCACTATGACACTTTAGACACTCAGTGTGGGGATCACACTTAAGCATAAACTTGCCACAGACTTTGCAAGCTTTGGACCCCAGGCTCCGAGTCATGCCCCAGTGTGAGAAAGGTAAGAAGAAACTCAACTAAAAACAAGCAATCCTGTGGCACCTTGGAGGCTAGCAAAAATGTATAGTATCATGAGCTTTCATGGAGGCAGGCCAGTCCTCCCCTACAGACAACCACCTAACCCAGGGATCAGCAACGTATGGTTCTTGAGCCACATATGGATCAGTATGGAAACAAATATGACTCTTTTGTCATTCCCAAAATACATGCAACTTTTTAAACTAAAATGAAAAATTAAATTCAATAATAACGCATGCCCAGATGGTCTTTTTTGTCTATTTCATCTTTAACCAGAGGTGAAAGTAATGTGGTGAGCTTCAGTAAGAACTGGCTGCACTGTGGTCAGAGCTGGCTGGGG